ATGCAGCGGTTTGCGTCTGTATTAGAGTACTTAAATCAAAGCACAGACGGCGCTGAATTTGTTTGGGTCTCAGAATGTAAGAAAGGTGCAGGTTGTGAGATTATATGTTTAGTGCCACCAATGCTTTCCAGCGTTTTAATTGTAGTAAATTGGCTATTAGACTAATTGCAACACTGATATTCAATCCAATGTTTATTTGACTTTAACAATTTAAAAAAATGAGTAACCTTTACTGGGATTTGAACTCCAGACCTCTCGCTTCCTAAGCGAGCCCGAAAACCCTTCAGCCACGGTGAATTTATATGTGAACGGCCTGAAGAAAACCATATTATTCTAAATTAGGGCTTGTAACGACTTTAACTGTTGTTTAACACAGATGTAAATAATCCTGGAGCTTACTATAAGCATGTATATTTATAAAGAATCAAACGGCTGCAAGTTCTGTGGTATTTTCTGATCTTTGCAATCGTACTGTATATCTGTATGCATTTTCCTGTATAAGTTTATTTTTATGTATTATAATTCCTTTTGTAAGGCACCAGAGTTTGATACATCCGTAATTCTGCATAACTAGAGTTGCATCAAAAAATCATTTATGTCCTTTTTTTACGACAGCCACACTTTATCTTTGTATATCATGGCTACTTCCTTAACAAAAACACTTAAAAAAAAGAATTTAACAAAATAAAAAGTTTTCTCGACTTGGATACGAACTCGAGACCTCTCACTCACGAGGCGAGCGCGTTACCCTTGTACCACGGAAAAGTTATACACAGTGTGTCTGAATAATATCAAATCATTCTAAATTTGGAACTTCCATTGCAGTTCGGTTGTAATCCTTATTAATTTCGAGGTATTTTGTTTAGGCTAAACCTGTTGTTTATAATTGAAGTAGATATTTTAGCAAAAATCCTCTCGCCCAAACGGTCTGGCATGTAGAATCTATATATTCCACTACTCGGTTTGTGTAGTATTCGGTAATCAACATGGCTAAAAATAGTGTTTCATTGATAAAATCATATTCATCCGCGTAATTTGTGATTGTGCATTTATTGACAATTCTATAAGCCAACGCTATTGTTTAACTTTAAATGCGTTGTAATTTGTTGGATACTTGTAACAAAATAAAATATTTCTTTCTTTTAAATCGCTAGTTTTTAGCTGTTTTGAGAACTACTTGTTGTTAGGTTTGTAGTAAACTTCTGTGTCAGAGATTGAATGTCCGCTTTGTATTTAGTTATTTTCGATCAGAAAATACAATAAAACAATATTAGAAATCTTTGACCATTCGGGAATTACTTTGCTTGAAAATTGATGCGCCTGTCTTTGACCATCTTTACGCAGTGATCTCCCCTGAATTTTTCGGCTTTAGTGTACATACAAAAGGGAAGTAACCGCTCCAAAAAATTGGACTACTTTCGGCATTTGCAATTAGCAACATTAGACTCTGAAATTTCGCTACCATTATTTGTTTGGTCTGACGACCCAAACAAATAAAAATCATTTACTATTGATAAAAGATAATAAAGAAGGTTATTTATGACCTAAAAAGCTTGTTTGAGTTAGCTGTCGTCTTTCTAACTCGAGTACCCACCTATAATTTCATAATTTCCGATTTTACTTGAAAACGTTTGCTAGTTATCCTTTTTTCGAAAACTTCTTAAATTTCAAATAATACCGGTATTACTATTCGACCTGAAAAATACCATTTACGATGATTTTTAAAATGAACATGAACAAAGAAAAATAAGATGAAACGATTTATAGAACGGATCTTTGAATTTAACAACGTAAGATGATCTATGATCCGGCATGTGCTCCCCGTCTAAAAAATATCATTGTGGGCATTTGCCCCTACCCCCGCCCAGTTGAAATGTATCCTTGGACCCCCCCCCCCATAATTAAGTATTCTTTTGGATATTTTATAAATATATAAGTATGAAAGTGTTGTATATATTTAAGTTTAATTTTCAATAATAATGCATATGTAAGTGCATATATTGTTGTTGAAATTTCAAAGTCGCTGCTGTGTATATGATTTCTAACATACTCATATGTTGCCCTATACTATAGTATAGTATTAATTTGTTATTTAAAGATAATATCATAATCACCTCTATAAACATGTTCATCTTCATTTTGAAAGTATGTTAATTTGTTAATATGTTAATGATCGTTTATTATGATAAATGATATTGAATAAAATGTTCAAATAGAACAGTTGAAGAAATACACTTTGAATGTGTAACTGTTAGAGTGTGTGCGCGCGTGTGGGGTGGCGGGGGTCCGTTTACTTTATGACCCTTTATCCGGGAATAAAGACATAACCATAACGATCGAAGAGGGCATATGTCTAGTTTCCGGGATGCCATAACGTGAAGATAATTTTACTAATGTTCAAATGTTTGAGTTTCTTCACAAACGTTTATCTTGAAATGATGACATTGTCTGCTGAGACACAGAAGAGTGGTTGTTTCTGTACACAACATAACCGTGCCCTGGGATTGGGGGGGGGGGCTTTTGTACGTTTCTCAATATAACCAGATATGTATACGATATAAAATGAAGAAAATGGCTAATAGAAATAAAGAACGTAAGGAGAAAGAAAACCCCTGCTCGACGGTCGTACAAAAGACCCGCATTCAAAATTGTAAAAAATATCAGAAGCCCTACTATGGGGAACGAATGATCAGGGGATGATTAAGTTCAGGGTTTCCGATGCTAGCTAAAGATTTTGTGTCAAGCTCATGAGTTTTCATGAACCAAATGTTCCTAAGTATTTTAATGCATGTATTTCTTTCGTTTCCCACTAATATGATTAAGTTGATACATGTGTTCGTATTGGGAAAATAGTAAAAAAAACAGAGCCTAATACGCCGGCAGCAAATACTAATTGCAATTACTGACAGTAAAATCAGTACGCTGACGATTTCCAATAGCGATAAGAACATATTGTCGACAATTATCGGTCGCATTAAAGTGCCGGCATCATTTTGAACTCTTCATCATCGAGTTAAAAAGCGATCGATTTCCAGATGACACGAAATGATACATGGGAAACGAACTGCTTAATTCATAATTAAGGGAAATTTTTAAAGTTGGTTTTCAAATATGAGAAATCTGTCTGCCTCTGAACCAATATTGAAGGAAATTACATAAATTACATTTTGACTGCTTTCCGATTTTTTTTATTTCAACCATGCATGTTACAACTGCAAGACGGGGAATAATTAACTGTGCAATTATTGAGCGCATCATGAGATGTCAATTATAATTGATTGAATGACTTAGAGATTTTATAAAAAATTAAAATATGAGGGTTATTATTAACAAGGATCGAAGAACAACGTTCATGGGAAAGGTACAAGGCAAAAAGGTGAGAAGGGACAGCTAGGGCACCACAGAGGGAGGGGGCACGGGCAAGTTAATTTATAGTATTATAATTAGGACAACAACTATTTATATAAAAGGAATATGAAAACGTGTACTACAGAAAAAGGGAAAAATGGAAAGAAAAGGGGAGGTAATAATTAGACGACTATACACAGAACATTCAAAACATAAACAAAACACTGAACTGTATACAAGACATAAAACATATACTAGTAAGCAGGGCATTGCTTGAAAAACGCCTGGGGATTGAAACAGGTTAATGGCACAGATAATATACTAATATATTAAGACGATTCTCCCAAGCGAATCATCTTTGAACAGAAAAACCAAAATGTTCATTTAAATTTACATGAAAAGATAAGTCTATGACCATAACAAAAGTACCCTATGCCATTTAAGAAACCGCAGCAACAAGAAAATCACCTACATCAATACGACAATATATATGCGACAAAACAAATACAAACGCTTTTACGAGTAATCCTTACAGCTTAAGTAGCATTAAAAGGTTTGAATCTACATTGTATTTAACTCGTCTCTGGGCATAGTTGGATAACACGAGGGCGCAACATGTTTTGTTTTACTAAGGTTAAAACATTATATTATCATTTTTACCCAGTCCCCATCCTTCACCCCCAATCTTTCAATTCATCTTGCCAGTAACTGTAATGTTTATTGTTTATATGATTTGCTTATCCGCTTTTCTGGCGTCCTTCTGTTTTAATCAGATATCTTTTGATATAAAGCCATAGGCCTTATATACGTCTCAAGGATCACGGTAGGGAATCACGTGACTTTTACGGTTACGCGTACAGACAATATGGCGGCCTAAAAACCTCGCTTCACATGTGTTTTTCAGGTAATTCTTTATTATATCCCTTTTACTTACATACGAGACCTGTTGCAGCCTACGCAGAATAAAGAATTGTTGCCGCCTATACCTTATTTTCCACCCCTGTGCTCATAGCTTTTACAAACACTCAAAAATTCAAAAGAAATTTTCAATGTAAACAATTATATTTCGGGTAACATTCACGCAAAATTTGTATTTTTTTATGAATTTGATTAAACTACGTCGAGTTAGCAAGGAGAAAATGTTCATAGAATTTCTTTATTTGAAAATGTAAATATTAGGTATGTTAAATGTTGACTGGTCATTTTCTATTCCATTACACGAGAGAAAAATGATTTTGGTAACTCCCACGCATAATTTTATTGTTGATAACTCCCACGCAATATTTTATGTGCAGGCAATATCTATGCAGGTTATAGCCTAGATATTGATTGAAAAAAATCATGATTGATGCATTTAGCATCAAACTTTCATAGAATTTTGAATAATATTAAAATACCGCCAATAGGTCCTTGATAGAAGTAACCAAACAGGCACATCAACGGTGAACAACGTTGAAGTATGATCAGATTTCAACGTTGAAATAACGTTAGATTTATGTTCGAATTTGAAAGTTTAAAAAACGTTGAAGTTCAACGTTGGCACAACGTTGAAGTTTCAATGTCATTTCAACATACTTTAATATAAATATAAAGCAAAATACTGTACGTAATAGAGTTTAACAAAAAAATCAAGACACTATTAAATACTTCAGCTATTTTATTTCAAAACTACAGTTCAAGTGTAGCTAAAATTCAAACGATTTAAGAAGTCCTTTTAAGCTACAATCTGTTCCAATCTACCACTAGTTCTTCTTCTAGAGCTCTCTTGGTATGTCTAAAGTGTGTCATGATGGTGTTTGAATACTTCTACTGCTTCTGCAAATAAAATAAGAAGTTACATGTTAAAATTGACTTGGTCAATCTCAAATTATATATAATTAATCAACTTAGTGATTTGTTTTATCTTAAATTGCTTATCTTCTAAGACTTACATAATAAAACAGCATATAGAAATTAAGATACAGCTGAAGTTTCATATTGACAGTAAATTATGTACAAAAATAACAAAAACTTTTAAAAAAGAGGCTATTTAACCCTTAACCTCATATATACGCGACACAACGCACTTTCGACCCCCCCCCCCCCACCTTTTTTTAGGCCTGAAATAGTGAGAAAATGTCCTATTTTCCCCAAACACATGTTTTCGTTTGAGAAATGTTGTTAAAAAAAAGTGAGCACTTTTTCGGCGCCGCCCCCTGTCCAAAAGATACTTCAGGGGGTTGCCAGAAGGGGGATGTGCCCCTTCTTTTTGGGGGGTTTGAAGGGGCGGAGTCCCCCTCATCGCAAAGAAAATTTTGGACTTGTGAGAGGCTTTAAATGACCACAGGTCGATCATAAGGTAAGGTGTAACCAACGCTGAAAAGCCTTTGACTCTATCTCAATCCCTTGAGAAGTTGCAGCACTTTGAAAGTAAATTTTGATGGAAAAAATCGAGGCAAAATAGTGATTTTTGGCAATTTTGAGATGTCCCCTCGTTGCCATGGTAACAGGAAAATTTAACTTGAAAGAGGAGGCTTTTCAGTGAAAATGGCCATTTTTCACAATATGCTCATGGGTGAAAGGGTTAACTTAAAAAATTATAAATGTTACAAAACAACAATTTTTCACCAAAATTAGGTAAAAGACCACATGTTAACATGTAAAAACTAGATTTTGGGTGATTCAAAAGTTTTTCATCATTTTTTGTTAGCCCTTTACCCCTCGTTGCCATGGTAACAGGAAATTTAAGACTGAGCATGTTCGTTACAAAAGCAATTGTCCAGTCAACATTTGTGCCAAGTTTGATTAGTAATTGAAGCATTTTTCATAGTTTCAAAGCAGTTTGAACCCTTGGTAAGAGGAGGCTTTTCAGTGAAAATGGCCATTTTTCACAATATGCTCATGGGGGAAAGGGTTAAGTCTGACCTATGATTGGTAAGAAAAACTGCTCCCATCAGTTACGTCAGCATTTTCCCAAGAACAGTCCTTTCCATGTTAAATTTATGGTATAGAAGCTACAGTTGTAATACTTTAAATTTCAGCCAGGACCAGGATCTAGAATATAAAATAATCTTATTTTTCCCTATATATTCACGGCAATTAAACTTAAAATTTAAACACTCAACTTTATTATTTAACCACAAACAGTTTAATCAATATTTTATTTGAAAATGCAATGGATTTAATGTATTTTTCAAACTAATTCACATTTAATTTTACTATCACTAAGATATAAAATTAATACAGCTAAATTGACGAATCGTCTTGGGCGTAAATTATATGGGGCGAACAACACTTCATCTGCTTATAGGTTACAATAATATGATAAATAAATTTCAAAAAGACATGGCTTGTAAAATCATAAATTGCCAAGGACATCAATAACTTCGCGTAAGGCCTACCAAACCCAAAACATTCAGTTAGGTCGCGTTTTGATACAAAAGTCTAAAATATTAGAAGGAGGTTTTGTATTTCTGTTTTTATTAGTAAAATTACAGTTGTCATTTTTCATATTTTGCAGATATGGAAGGTTCCATCTCGGATATTATTTGTGATAAATGTGGGAAACATTTCATTCGCGGATAGGGCTCAAATATTGACCACATGAACAGTCTACACGGCACAGGACCTTATAAATGTTGTGGTAAAACATTTTATAGCCCAGCAAATCGGAAACGTTACGGGTTTTACTGTTGATATTAAGATGACATTCAAACATAAGTCCTCTAGATTTTATTACCTAGTTTGTAAAATAAAAGACCCATTCTAATATACTTTAGGTTGTTTTCTTTTATGCTTTAGATTAAAAAAACACACAACATAATAATGTTAAATACAGACACTAATTTGAAAAAAAGTTGGTTTCATAAAAGACTAAGTGATAAAATGAATTGAATGTCTTTAAAATCTTAATATAACGAATAACATAAAATGCCATACCTGTCACGTTTCGATTTGTCACAACATTTACAAAGTCCTGTGCCGAGTAGCCAGTTTATGTGGTCATTAAGACAAATGTTGCCCAACATTATCCACAAACAATACCCGAACTGGAATAGCCCATATCTGCAAACTATGAAAAATGACAACTGTAATTGTGCTTATACTGAAATCGACCTCCTTCTTATATTTGAGACTTTTATTTTAATTTCTGCGATTAATTCATCTATATCGAAACTTCATTTAATATATTCACGTGAGTATGGATTCTGCTATCCATAGGGGCTTTATTCTATCCAGGACCTTTTGGCGGTATTTTTAATATTATTCAAAATTCTTTATACGTTTAAGGCTAAATGCATCAATCATGATTTTGTTCAATCAATATCTAGGCTATAACCTGCATAGATATTGCCTGCCCATAAAATATTGCGTGGGAGTTATCAACAATAAAAGTATGCGTGGGAGTTACCCAAATCATTTTTCTCTCATGTTTTGGAATAGAAAATGACCAGTCAACATTTAACATGACTAATATTTACATTTTCAAATAAAGAAATTCTATGAACATTTTCTCATTGCTAACTCGACGTAGTTTAATCAAATTCATAAAAAATACAAATTTTGCGTGAATGTTACCCGAAATATAATTGTTCACATTGAAAATTTCTGTTGAATTTTTGAGTGTTTGTAAAATCTATGAGCACAGGAGTGGAAACTAAGGTATAGGCGGCAACAATTCTTTATTCTGCGTAGGCTGCAACAGGTCTCGTATGTAAGTAAAAGGGATATAATAAAGAATTACCTTAAAAACACATGTGAAGCGAGGTTTTTAGGCCGCCATATTGTCTGTACGCGTAACCGTAAAAGTCACGTGATTCCCTACCGTGAAGGATGATTTCAGAAAATCCATCCGCAATATCAACTATAGTAACAATACAATTTTGTTTCATATGAAATGAATTTTCAAAATTTCGACCGCTCTTTGATTTGCCAATGTCAGCATTATATTTCCATTTCATATGGCATGATTTTTGCTCGAGTGTGTGACTGCCTTTTCCTATTTATTTGGTGGGGTGCATGATCTTTTGTTCGCTCCAAACATTTGCGTGATTTGAATGGGAACGCTGGCTGCAGTGCTGCAGAAAACGTGCTGAGGAGGTGAAATTTGGTACTGTCATCAATTTATGTTTACCTGATATTCGCCGACGGATTAATGTCATTCTGGACCATTGGCCGTACGCGTGTTCACCTTCACAAGAACAGTGGCGAAGAACAGCTGTTTTTATTGATTATGATCAAGTGTACTCTGTATACCTGCATCAATCAAACAAAGGCGAACAATGATTGGGTAATCACGGCACCACGTGGTGTTGACAGCAGGAATCTACTGGTTGACAAGTGTGGAAGTAGTTACCGCTACACTCGATTAACGATAAACTAAAAATGACCACCCGTCAATCGAGTTGTGATGTAACAGCCGTGTTTATACAAGATACACAAAGTTTACCGTTATGAGAACTTCAATGAATGGCAGAACTTTTAAAGCAGGTGTTTCATAAACACTTTCTATTCAATTCCCAAAATTGTTACCCCTTTATTAACGGTTATTTGTATTTTTTTGTTAAAGTGTGGACCAGACTTATTTGCACACGCGTGTTATTATAACGGGACATCTGTCCCCTTCTCTACGATCCTTCGTTGTCGCGTGCCCGTATTTAAATATTTTCTTTGTGCCTTATATCACCTGAATAATTGGTTTAAAAGATGAATTTATTGAATTATTGATATAATTTTCTTTTCATATTCGTCCTCTTTTGAATGTTTTACAATGGAAAATATAAAATTTATCACATGGTTTGAATTTGATCAAAGTTCTCAAATTTCGTATTCGAAATACTAAATTCACACCCCTGTTACTGCAAATTTGTGGTAATTATATCTTTAATGTTTTTTTTTATATTGTGATACGGCGTACGTACGGAGTTCAATTCTAAAGTTTTTTGCTTTTAATTAATTCATTCATTCATTCATTTTTATGCGATTTATCGCATTCATATCGATAAACATCGATAAATATCCAAAGTATATTCTATATCCGACCAGACGAAAAGGGCTTTCAAAAATTTATATAAAATTAAGTAGTCATTTAAAAAAATATCTTTAATGGTGTTTCACAGAAAATAAAGAAAATAATTTGTGATCTATTTGCTTGATCTATATTCGTTATCTAAGTTACAAATAATCATAATCTTATATTGACTAAAGCAGGGGCGACTTCTCTTTACCAGTTGCTGCAATGTGTAGCATAGTCGCTGTAAGCTGAATGACTTGAATTCTCTCGGACCTATTTTCTCCCTAAGGAGATGTTTCGTATGATTCTTTCGAATATAACGGTATTCCGATTGAAAAAAGACTCTTTTCGAAAAAGCCAAGGCTCGAGTGAAAACTAAGATTTATTAATTATCTTTTAAAATTCTAAAACCAATCCATCAGTACCCTAAGTACTTTGATTAATCACCTCAGATTTACGTGAAATACAGAACAGAACAGAACAGAGTTTATTTCATAACTTGTACACACATAGGTACATCGTTATTACAAGCATTTTTAAATATAATTATAGGTCACATATTTTACAATTACACATAAAGAAAAAACAAATCAATACAATATTGAGCAATGGGATATTTAATACATACAATGTGATACATTACATACACTGACAAAACTCCATTAATCAATTATATATCCATTTCTTTAAATTACTTCTGTAAATGAATAATGAAGAGTACTAAATTTAAGCGGAGAACAAACTATAACTTCGCTTTTAATCGAATTTGTTTGATAGATTATTTATATAATAATATACTGAAAAAATATCAAGGTATATATAATCAAAACTGCATCATAATACTATTGAAGATTTCTGAAGTAATCATTTCGTTTGATGTTTGCCTTTTTTAAATAATAACATAAGTTTTGTAAGTACTTTTATGACTTTTAGATTGTAGTAGTTCTATAAATTTGGCCATACTAGGCCTAATGTAAAAATATCGCTTAATATATTGACTACGTAGATTTTCATAAGCACTGCATTTTTAAAACAAAATGATATTCGTCTTTCGAGTTCGTTAGTATCACAGAATTGACAAGTTCTTTCGTGGCGTTCTACACGGCCTCGACCATACCTTCCGGACTCAATTCTAAGTCTGTGAGAGGACACTCGAAGGCGTGTAAGAGCGCTTCTAAAAGATTTACAATTAATCTTATCTAAATATAATTCATAACAGAACTGATCTTTTACATATGAATATAGATGACTGAGCACACCATTACTAGATACACCTGCACGCCATTCTTGTAAATAACAATCGATAAGTCTTTGTTTAAAAAACAGGTAAGAACTGTTTTTAACAATACACTATCGGGAAAATTCCATATTTCGGCAAAACCAAAGTACCGCAAGCAGTTTTTTTAATTTTACATGGCCAGTTATTTGTGCCATTTTCACATTTGTCACGGGCATTTTTCGTAAATGCATTTTAATATAATGTTATCCGTATTCAGTAATTTAAACCAATACTTTATTATATGTGTGTACCTAATGATAAATAACGGATACCTCCCTAATTCCCCGTAGACCGATACGTTACTTTGTACTTAATTTTAACGCCCAAAATCGTTTTACAGTATTTGAGATGTACACGTTCTAACTCTTTGGACTTAGTGAAGCCCCAAACCGGGCAGGCATAGTTTATAGATAGATCCCACAAAAGCATCAAACAATTGAAGCGATATCGAAGGGCTAAGTTCATATTGTTTTATATTATTTAGCAGTATATTTGAGGCTTTTAAGGCCTTTCCGACTATGTACTGGTTATTTAATACGAATGAGCCGGTATAATTAAACACCACCCCTAGGTAGTTGAAGTCATTAACTATTTCTAGAGGCACATTATTGAAATGCCAGCGCTCATTACATTTTAGCCCACCCCTACGACGAAACACCACTATCTTGGTCTTAGATGTGTTGACTTGTAGGCCCCAGTACTGGCAGTACTCGTATAATTTGTCTAAACTGGCCTGCAAATCTTCAACAGAATGGCCAATAATTGCCATATCATCGGCGAATAGCAGTATGATAAGGCACATATCATAAATAGATAAACCTGATTTAATGGATCCTTGCAGGAAAAGTTCCAAGTCTTCAAGAAAAAGGGCAAACATGACTGGCGAATTATTTAGGCCTTGCCTCAATCCAATGGAAATATTGAAAAAGTCAGAATAGGAATACAGGTGGTATTACTTGTATTTAATAATTTAAAAAAGGTAAGGTTATGACTTGAACATTTTCTTTAAAATGCTCTAATTAGTACATTTGTGTATTTCTATTTTATTTTTTGCATCACCCAGGCAACGGTTGTGAATATGAAAGTTTAGAAATTAATTTAGTAGTTAAAATATCGTCAAGTTTACACATTAACAGATTTAACCAAATGATAACCAAACTTATATTTATGTGGTGGTGGTGGTAGATTTCACTCTGGATCACGGCAGTAAGCCAATTACACAGTTCAGCAACCGCTTTGTGTCAAGCTGTTTACCAGTATTCGTTGCCTTCACTATCGTAGAAACTGATTACTACTGTATATACCAAGAGGTACAGTGCGAATGACCGTAGAAATGATTTCAAGATAAATCCTGCACCGTCCGGGAATCCAATGAAAATAAAAGATAACTGACATTAACTGATAATTTGCCGATGATTAAAGAAACAGTATATTTTTCCGCCACTTTTTTACATTTATAATATATATATATTATGTGTCAAAATATCCATAAATACCATTTGCGTGGAAGAAAATAAATAGCAATAAGATAGTGAATGTATTCATCTCTTGAATAGAGCATTTAAAACGAAATGTTCACATTATATCCTTACTGATTAAATACTACAGAGATAGAAAAAAGGTTATATAATTTATTAGATGATATGGGTATAGAACGCTTGCAAATAAGACATAAATAGTACAAGACTCTTCTCCAGTGCACAATGGGGAGTAGGCACTCGGGATAACTGGTTGACCTGTCAGGAGGGCGTTGTCCATAAGAAGACTGTTGTCACCTCCGATACCTTTTCAGCATGACCGAAAGAAGGGTAAACGGACAATAAAACGGCCAAATTGAAAAAGATGCCACCGACAGAGAACCTTACTTGACGCGCGCGCATTGGCGAAAGTAGTCTCCTCATCGGCACCGTAGGGAACGTGTTACAGTATCAATGTGGCCATACCACGTGACTTTTCGGGTACGGAACACGCCGATATTTCACCCGATTCAGGTATGTTTTTTATTCAT